GGGGGGATGGGTTAGCCCAGTGATGGGTATTAAGGAGGGTATGTACTGCATGGAGCACTGGGTGTTATATGAAAACAATGAATCACGGAACACTACATCAAAAACTAATGATGTACTGTATGGTGACTAACATAATAAAATAAAATTTAAAGTTGCATATTATAATGCATATTATGCTAAAGGTAAGAAACCTGAAAACATAAGCATTTGGTTAATTATAGAACATGAACATTAAAAGTCTGCATCCACTTAAAATGACAATTATTAAAAGCCAACATATAACTGTGTTGGCAAACATCTGTGTCTCAGTAAAGGAAACTGAGATACAGGAAAATGGCAGTATTTTAAAAATATATATGGAGAAAAAGAGAGAGAGAGACAGAGACAGGGAGAGACAGACAGAAGAACCACAAAGGAGATTGCAAAAATGAAAAATAGCTTTATGTAAAGATGGCAAGATTATTTGTTTCCTTTTTTTGGTATATATTTTACTTAATAATATTGCCATCAACTAAAAATCAAGGAGCAGTCTAGTTTTCTTTCATGACACGGCAGGACTAGTATGTACTGGAAAGGAGAAAAGGCAGGAAGCAGGCTTACCACTAAGGAAATGCTACCTTAGCAAGGTGAATATTCTGGCTATAGCTTTAAGGGAAGACTACTCCAGACCTAGTTACAGCTTTGCTCTACCTCATGCAATAAGATGGTCCAGAAAAACAAAAGTCATGCAAAATAAGTCAATAGGGTTTGAATCTTCTTTTTAATGCCCTCTGAGGACTAATTCAAGCCCTTCCAGGATCAATGCTATTCCAAGAGAAATGGATCACTCCTTCATTTATATTTTATTGGTTAGATTTTTTTTTCCAACTCTAGGCTTGTTTAAAGAGGAACACCTGGAACACACATGCCGAAAAGTGAGTGATTTCCTAGTGAGTGTAGTAGAACACTCTGCTAACGCAGCAGGATGCAGAAATCATCAAAGCCTCTCCAGAATTCAGCTCAGCTCTCTGCAAATTCTCCTCCACTAGGTTAACCACAACCCACAAGGGATGCAGGAAGCCACTGTATCACAGGTGAAAGTCTGTGATCCTGCAAGAATGCTCAAGCACCTTATGAGGTAGAATGCTAATGGTGACAACCATTTCCTTTTCAAGGTGAGGGAACATTATAGTCAAGTAAGAGAGCACCACGGGCAGATCTGAGGGTGGGTAGGTGGGCTAGGTGGGACTTTCCTACCATGCAACAGACCATCAGGCGGTATCCCCCCGCCAAATGAAATGGATCTCTAAGCTCTACATAGAACACGAGGTGCAGGAATCCACTTATGCTGGTAACCATCTGTATAAATAGTTACAGCATTAGTTAGAGGGCCTGTGTTATCAGGGCATAGCTGACCCTGAACAGAACCGGCAGAGCAAATTCCCTTAAAACAAAGACCTCCAGTTCTGGTAAATAGTGGGGGCGTGGGGGTGGGGAGTCCAATTGGAACTTTATCTTAGAAAAGGAAAACAAACTCAATGCCCAAAAAACAAACAACCCAATTTAAAAATGGGCAGAAGACATGAACAGACATTTCTCCAAAGAAGACATCCAGATGGCTGACAGACACATGAAAAGATACTCAACATTACTCATCATCAGGGGAATGCAAATCAAAACCATGATGAGATACCACCTCACACCTGTCAGAATAGCTAAACTCAACAACACAGGAAACAACAGGTGTTGGCAAGGATGTGTAGAAAAAGGAACCCCTGTGCACTGTTGGTGGGAATGCAAACTGGTGCAGCCACTGTGGAAAACAGTATGGAGGTTCCTCAAAAACTTAAAAATAGAATTACTGTATGATCCAGTAATTCCCTACTGAGTATTTACCCAAAGAACACGACAACACTAATTCAAAGGGACACATGCATCCTGAAGTTTATAGCAGTACAATAGCCAAATTCCAGAAGCAGCCATCAATAGATGAATGGACAAAGAAGACATGGTATATATATACAATGGAATATTACTCAGCCATTAAAAAGAATGAAATCTTGCCATTTGCAACAACATGGATGGAGCTAGAGAGTATTATACTAAGCAAAATAAGTCAGAGAAAGACAAATACCGTATGATTTCACTCATGTGGAATTTAAGAAATAAATGAACAAAAGGAAAAAAGAGACAAACCAAGAAAGAGATTCTTTTTAAAAAAGATTTGTTTATTTATTTGAGAGAGAAAGAGAGAGAGCACACAAGCAGGGGGAGGGGCAGGGAGAGAGAGAGAGAACCCCAAGCAGGCTCCATGCTTAGCACTGAGCCCAACAGAGGGCTCAATCCCATAACCCTGAGCCGAAATCAAGTCAGATGCTTAAATGACTGAGCCACCCAGGCACCCCAAGAAACAGACTCTTAAAATACAGAGAACACACTGATGGTCACCAGAGGGGAGGAGGGGGGCGGGGGAGAGAAACCGGTGAAGGGGATTAACAGTACACTTATCATGATGAGCACTGAGTAATGTATAGAATTACTGAATCACTATATTGTACACCTGAAACGAATATAACACTTTGTTAACTACATTGGAATTAGAATTAAAAATTTAAGGGGCACCTGGGTGGCTCAGTTGGTTAAGCGGCTGCCTTCACCTCAGGTCATGATCTCATGGTCCTGGGATCGAGCCCTGAGTTGGGCTCCCTGCTTAGCAGGGAGTCTGCTTCTCTCCCTCTCTCTGCCCCTCCCCTTGCTTGTGCTCTCTCTCCCTCCCTCTCAAATAAATAAACAAAATCTTTAACAAAAAATTAAAAACTTAAAAAAACTTAATAAAAGGAAAAAGAAAAAAAAGCATACTTAGATTGAGGCTAAAAAATAAAAGTTATCAAAATAGGGGCACCTGGATCGCTCAGTCAGTTTAGCATCCGACTCTTGATTTCAGCTCAGGTCATGATCTCATGATCATGACATCAAGCCCCAAGTCTAGCTCTGCGCTAGGCATGGAGCCTGCTTGGGATTCTCTCTCCCTCTCCCTCTATCCCTCCTCTCACGCTCACACACGCCCTCTCTCTCAAAAAAAGTAATCAAAATAACTTTCTTTTACCTTGTATTTAACAAAAATTTGTTGATATTGTAAGCATACACTAATTCTTAAAAGCAATAAAAATGACTGTGTCATTTTTTTGAGGTGGGGTGATTTTTTTTTTCCTGAATGGCTGTACAAGAGCAATAAAACATGAGTCCCTCCATGTTTGCCTTTGCAAAAATATCCAAGGGCTTTATCAGCTTTAATTTTTAACCCGTTGATACCCAAATCATCCTTTCTCCACAGAGTCACTGCCCCAGACGATTTTCCTGTTTCCAGCAGTTGACGAGTTTCGCTCCACTTCGCCAGCATCAAAGGCTCTGTGTGGGAACTGAGCAGCTTTCCAACATCACTTCCACTGACTTCATGAAGTCCCACATTTTTTCCCCAAGGATGGCAATTTTACTATGCCATTTATTTGTACTGCACATGTATATTATCAGATGTTGAACCTCTGACCATCAAAGACATCCTGACAAACATCCAGTGGGCAGGGAGAGATGCTAGCTGGGAATGGATTTTACAGGTGAGGGTGAATGGTGATGAGATAAAATGTTTTACACTTACCCCACAAAACCTCCTAACAGTGACGATGACTTTTAGGCATTCAAAATGAACCTTTGAACAACATGGGTTTGAACTATGTGGGTCCACATACATGAGAATTTTTTTCTGATAAATATGGTTAAGTACTGTAAATGTATTTTCTCTTCCTTAGGATTTTCTTAATAGCATCCTCTATTCTCTAGCTTACTTTATTGTAAGAATACAGTGTATGGTACATACACATACAGAGTATGTGTTAATCAACAGTTGATGTTATCACTAAGGCTTCTGGTCAACAGCAGGCTATTAGTAGTTGAGTTTTGGGGGAGTCGGAAGTTACATGTGGATTTTCAACTGCTTGGGCAGTTAGCACACGTTGTTCAAGGGTCAACTGTACTTGCATATCCTTCGCGCTTAAGAGATACATTAGAGAAGAATGAATAGCTGTGTCTTTCAGATCCTGTTCCCCTACACCCCTCTCCTCCAACTTTGCTCCTAGCACTCCCCTTCATGCTTTTATACTTGTACTTTGCATAATGTACCCATATGCAGTATACTATTTTTTAAATTTTATTTAAATAGTATTATACCAAATGTATCCTTCTAAAACTTGCTTTCTTTTATTTGCTTAACACTATTTGTTGAGATTTATCTATATGATATGTGTTTTAGTGCTTGTTTCGTTTTTTATTTTTTTTCTTTTTAATTGAAGTACAGTTCACATATACTATTATCTTAGTTTCAGGTGTACAATATAGTGATTCGATATTTGTGTACATTACAAAATGCTCCAGGGGGCGCCCCGCCGGCTTAGTTGGTAGTGTGTGTGACTCTTGATCTTGGGGTCATGAGTTCAAGCCCCACATCAGGTATAAATATTACTTAAAAAATACATTAAAAAATGTTCATCACAACGTGTAGTCACCATTTGTCACCATATGAAGTTATTACAATATTATTGTCTATAGTCCCTATGCTGTACAAGTGCTTGATTTTTACTTCTTTCTATGTTCCATTGTCTAAATGGACTATAATTTGTATTTCTCCTATTGAGGGACATTTAGATTGCTTCCAATTTTATTTTCCTTTGCCATTCTAAACAGTTCTGCAATAAACATTCAGTACAACTTGCACACGTGTGCCAGTGTGACTCTCAAGTGTGGCCAGTGGACTGCTGTGAATCCACACCAGGCCATGACTAGATGAGCACGAAAATTAAAAGTAAACATTTAGAAAACGTTGTGGCAATTTGACATTGCTGTGACATCATATTTTTGAAAAAGGTCAATCCACAAGAGATTGGCAATTTTACAAACTGGTCCTTCACCACAGATGGTTTGAAAAGCACAGCTCTAGGGAATAACCTAGAAGAGAAATTGCTGGGTTGTAAGATGCTAGAGCATCTTCCACATTGCAGATACTATCAAACTGCTCTCCAGGGGAACTGCACCACTTTACATACTCACCTGCAGCATTTGAGAATCTCTGTTGCTCTAGAATCTGAGAATCCACCTCAACTCTTGGAGATGTCAAATGTTTAAACTGGGGATTTGACCTTTCTATCTTGCATTCTTATTGGTATTCTTTGAGCTTCCACCTAAGGGCTGAAGCTTGGGTACCCACCTTTCCCTATCAGTCCAACACCCCGGCTACTTCTCCCCATTGTGCCGATCAGGTAGTCAAAAGCCATCTCCTTGGCATTGAGGTGGAGAAGCTGGCTGGCCTCCACGAAGCGCCTTGTGATGTCCAGGGGATTGGCACCTACTAAAAGAATCATTGAAGCAACTCATTTTCCTCTCAGCACGGGGCTAATTCTTCCAGGAAAGGACCTCTGTAAATGGCCCAGGAAATAAGGGTAGAGAGAAGATCTACTCCTAGAGTAAGCAAGTATGAGGGTCTTCCCAATGGAAGGGTCTTGAGCTCTCAAGACCTGTCAGGTGGCATTTTGCTCTCTGCCCCCCTTACCCTTCTCTCTTCCTACCCATAGGCCAGGGTACTGATGCCATTAGTATGGAAAATAACATCTAGAAGGCTCTAGAAGCATCTAGAAGGCTCAATTACTGGTATGGCTTTATCTACCCTCCATGATCTTGGGGTTACACCCTTACCATGGATGGTCCTGCTGACCACTAATCAGTCCTCTCAATTTACCCCCTCCTCCTGGGTGCTGCCTCTCTCCACTTCTGCATCATTTCTACAAACTCCACCCTTCAGTACCTCTGGCCTCACACTGTTCTCCACAGCCTCTTCCAGTCTGGACTCAGCAACGCTGGGGAAATGGGAGGAAAAAGTGGAGAACAGAGAGGGGTGAGAGGATGACTCTTGAGGGGGTTGTGGGAAGGGGTTCAATTCCTACAGCAGACCCATGGCTGCCACCTATCCCCAGCATATCCTTATATACCTGTCTGGGATGGCTGTGGTGGACACACACATCAGTCTGGGCAGATCCTTCTGGGCTCAGAAAAAATGGAGAAGAATCTGGCAAGCCAGGCTTACCAGACACGGACTCCACCATGGTCTTCATCTTCAGGGTGAGCAGCTCTGTCAGCAGGTGGATAGACTGCCGCTGGAATCTGTGCAGGGTCTCCTGGCCAGAGTGTGCTAGATAGCCATGGGTGGGAGACTGGGTTAACTTGGCTGGCCCAGTGGATGTGGGCAGCAACTGTGGTGTTGGTACTGGAGGTGGCTTCTTTTGGACAGGGGCCTGCGCGGGGGCTGATTCCATGAGCACCACGGGTGGGGGTCCAATGTTGATCTCCAGGCCCATGATGTCAGACGGGGTAGGCACCATGGGGTCGGCAGTGAGCTCCTCCCAAGTGAACTCAAAGATGTTCCTGACGCCCTTAGGTACAGAAATACCTGCGTTCCGGCAACTGATGAGCAGTTTGGAGATACGGGCCAGCAGCCTGGGCGCTGAGGCTGTGTACTGCTGGTACAATTCTCGGTTGCTCTTAATGTCAGTCATGTTGCTACAGTATACATCCTGCTAGGTAATACTGTCCATCTCAGACCAGATGGACCTGCAGCTGTAGAAAGTCAGAGCCCCCTGAGAGGTGAACGAGAGTGACAGTGCTTACCTAAGGTGAAGCCTTGGAGACAGACAGAATGGAAGTGCTGAAATGGCCTTTATAGGTCATTGAGCCAGCAGGTCCTATCCAGGAAGGATAAGGAAATAATTGATCACTCCTCACACAGGAAGGCAAAGGGATGTCCCTCCTCCTTTTTCTTCCCAGAGACAGCATCAGATGAACCCACATTAGTGGGTTACTTTGGGAAGGGCCTTGGGGATGACCGGATTCCAGAAATGGTTCCAGGGACAGTCATACAAACTGAGTACCTCTTGGAGGAACCCTGGGGTGCTGGAGGAATGGAAAGGATGGGGAAGGGAGAAAGGTTCCACTGTACCTTTTACAGTTAGAGACCTGGGAGTGGAAGATCTACTTGTGGTCTATGGATAAAAACCTGCAAACACAAAAAAGATGTTTTATTGGCTCTCTGGACGATGGGGATGGGGTAGTTCCTGGTGGCAATGCAAGGATGGGGATGCAATTATTCAGCATGTATATCCAAGGGCAGATGGAAAAGAATGAGGAGAATAAATTTTCTCAATTCAATGACTAATATTTGCCACATTTCATCAAATCAAGGTCTGATGTAATTGATTGTAAGATGCACCAACTTATAAGAAAAAAAATATCAATTTAAGATGCCATTGACTATAAGAGATATCACAATTTAAGAGATGTTAAAATGGAAAAAATGCATACCTTAAAATCAATGAACTATAATAAATATTTTCCCACTTTAATAGAACTTCTTGAGGGCTCTGAGTGCTCATCAAGTAGACATATGTGGGTTAGCAGATAAGCATACTCATGTCTGGGTCAGCTGAACAGCACTAGGTGCTATGGTGGTTTTTACCTTGACATATTTCTAGACTGTGTTTTATTCTTGTCTTCTTAATATATATAAAAAATAGACCACTGGATGAAGAGAGGGAGTGTGAAGAACAATTTGATAAGCACAAAAATGGCTGGAAAAATCCACTAGGGTTTTGTAATCAGATCTGAAAGTTTAATTTATCTGATCAAAATGAACCCTGTAAGGACATTCTTCAGTCATATATCAATACACTGACAAAAATGTAAGGTCACTTCTTGATCTTGCATTACACAAAAATGATGACTTATTTCTCTTAATTCCTGAGGGGCTTTGTGAGAACATGAGCCTCTGCAAAAGATGCTCAAGAATCCAGAACACAGGAGTGCCTGGGTGGCTCAGTCAGTTAAGCATCCAACTCTTGGTTCCAACTCAGGTCATGATCTCAGGGTTCTAGGGTTGAGCCTTGTGTCAGGCTCCACTTTCAGAGCAGAGTCTGCTTGTCCCTCTGCCTCTGCTCCTCCCTCATTCATGTGCGTGCGCACGTTCTCTCTCTTTCAAATAAATAAATAAATAAATAAAATCTTAAAAAAAAAAAAGAATCCAGAATATGTAGGAAAGGTAGACCTAAGAGAATCACCTTTGCTGGCATTTCCATGCAGTGTAGGCCAGTTGCCCCTGTTGTTTGACTTAAATGGCCCCAAAGGCAAACTAGGAATGTGCTAGGGGCCTAGCAGTGTTGACCTCTAGAGCAGAGGAAGGACTGCTGGCCAGGGCCTCTGACAATCCTTGTTACCACAGCCTTTCCACTGTCAATTCCACCTTCCATCCTGACAACCACTCCCCACCCTGTCCATGGTGCTTTTCTCCTGCCAGACAATCTTCATTCTTTCACCTTTCAAACCGTGTCCTCTGGAGCCACCCCAAGTTCACCCCTGGGGTACACCACCCCCGTTTACAGAGCAGGTTCACAGGCACGATCTGGTGTGACCACCTGGGGTGAGATTATTATCTCTCCCATTTCCCTGATGACGGACGAGACAGAGCTCCTAGTCAGGTGGGAGTTGCCTGTGTGCAGACTCCCAGCACAGAAGCTTTCCAAACACAGTCTGATTTCCTCACAGCCCTTGAACTGCTTCTGCCCATCTATCAGCAACAAAATCTCCAAGGAACAAGAGTTCCACAGAGCAAACCCTTCTGACATCCTGGTTTTCAGATAAGTGGCTTCCTATGTCTATTTGCTGACCCCCTGGCATCTTTATTCCTTCGCTTTGGAGACTCAGAAAAATACTTCGTTTTTTAAATGATAAGTCTGTAGAACAAAGAAACCACTCAGAATCTCAGTCATCTGGGCAACCAGCCAGAGGGATCTGACCCTGACCAAGAAGGGCAGATTTTTTTTTTTTTTTTAAGCCAGGACTCAAATGAAGAGAAGACAAATACAGTCCTTGAAATGTTAACTGGTCTGAGGAAATTCTCCCCATCCCACCCCTTACCAACTCATTTCTTTTGAGGTTAATTTTGAAGATATGTCTGACAAACAGATAAGAGCTTTTTAAAGCAGTTTTATTGAGATATAATTCACATGTCATACAATGTGCCCCTTTTAAAGTGTATAATGGTTTTTAGTATATTCAAAGTTGTGCAACTGACACTACTATCTAATTTTAGAACATTTTCATCACCCCCAAAAGAAATTCATTAGCAGTCACTCCACATTCCCTCTCACTCCTAGGCACCCACTAATCTAGTTTCTCTCTATAGATTTGCCTGTTCTGGGCATTCCATATAAATGAAATCATACATTATGTTGTCTTTTGTGACTGGCTTCTTTCACTTAGCATATTTCCAAGGTTCATCCATGTTGAGCACGTATCAGTTACGTCATTCATTTTTCTGGCAGAATAATATCCCATTATGTGGATATATCACAATTTGTTGATCCATTCATTATCTGATGGGCATTTTGATTGCTTCCACTTTGGGGCTATTATGAATGGTAATACTGTGAACATTCATGTACAAGTTTTTGTGTGGACAGACGTTTTCACCACGATTCTCTTGGATGTACACCCAGGAGTGGAACAGCTAGCTGGGTCATATGGTAACTCAGTGTTTAACATTTTGAGGGACTGTCAGACTGGTTTCCAAAGTGGCCGTACCATTTTATAGCCCCACCAGCAATGTAGGAGGCTTCTAATTCCTCCATGTCCTTGTGAACACTTGTTATTATATCTTTTTGATTCTAGAGCCATTCTAGAGGGTGTGAAGTGGTATCTCATTGTGATTTTGATTTGCATTTCCCTAAAGACTAATGATGGTGAGCATCCTTTCACGTGTTTATGAACCAATTTATACCTTCTTTTGAGAAAAGTCTATTTGGCTCTAAAAGCTGTTTTGTTTTTTTTTTTTAAAGAAATGTCATTTAAAATCAAATAGTTATCATATATTTATATTTACATTTAATTATATATAAGTATTATAATAAATATAATCAACACAAATATTTGTTATATTTATAATTTATATTTACCTGTATTTTTTAAAAGATTTATTTATTTATTTTAGAGAGTGGGGTAATGGAGCAGAGGGAAAGGGAGAGAGAAACTCAAGCTGACACCGCACTGGGCAGAGCCGGGCACGGGGTTTGATCCCATGACCCTGAGATCATGACCTGCGCCGAAACCAAGAGTCGGACACTTAACCAACTGCACCACCCAGGTGCCCTGACCTGTATTTACTGCCATATGGGTTATCTCTTCAAAATTCAGCTAGAGGTGCCCATGTGACTAAATCCTGGCCTATGGGATTAAAGTGGAGCTGCTAGTTTGGCCCTGAGACATGTTTTTAAAGGAGGCTACCTTCATAGCTTGTTCTTTCCTCACAGCCCTTCTCGTTTGGGATGGATGAGATGGCTGTGGGTCCAGCAGCCATTTAGAGCCATGAAGTTACCTTGGAGAGGGAAGCCGTGCATTGAAGGTGGCCGAGCAGAGTGACAGAACCTAGGGTCCTGAGGACACAGCAGCATGCCTGCACCAGCGCTTAGCTACCTACCTCTAAACTTGTTTCACAGGAGAGAATGGGCCCCTTTGTTTAGATCTCTCTCCTTGCAGTCAAGTGTGATTCCGGACTGACCACCAGCCATGTTGGAACATCATCCCACCCTCCTTTCTATGTATCCAATTTTAATTCTGTCATTCATTTTTCCATCACTGAGACACAGGCCTTGCCCCCAAGCAGCTCAACATTTAACAGGCACATAAGACTTACAAAACTGACTTACAGACAATATAATAAGGGTCACACTACAGAAGAATGTACAAGAGCCATGAAAACCCAAAGAAAAACGTCTCACAGAAGCAGCACTGAAGATGGTTATAAAAGATGAGCAGAAGTTGCCATTCTAGGCAAAAGGAGCAGGATGTACAAGGGAGCAGAGGCATTTAAAGCACGGTGGGTTCAGAGAACTGCAAAACACATCAGTATGACTGGGGTCTCTGGGAGAGTAGTAAAGTTAGAAAAGTGGTCTCAAATCAGATCGCAAAAGGTCTTGTATGTCATGCCAAAGAATTTGCATGTGTTGTATGATCAAATATTCAAATGCATTGTCTTTAATCACTAGCTCTGTCCCACGTGGTAATTCTCATCTCTGCAATTGGACAGCAGGGGCCACGTCTTCTCTCCCTTTTATAATGTCCATATTACTAAATACAGTGCTGCTACATACTAGGAACTGAAAAACATTTGCGGCATCAAAGTCCCATGCATAGCCTAACAGACCATTGCAGATGGCCATAAGTGAAGTTTCAAGAAACACCTCCCACAAAGAAATGAAAAGATCGTGTGAGAAGTTTATAAAGCATATAGAAGATGACCACAGGCCCAGTGCCTTCTTCATTTGATTTGCTGCCTGGCTGCTCTGTCCCAAGAGGACAGATCCAAGGGGAGAAACACACAAAGCTACAATGACAAGTCAGAGTGCTCTCTGCAAGGCAGAATGGAAGCCCAGAGAAGGCAGTGTGGCTGGGCAGCTAAGAGCTCAGGCAATGTGACCTTGAGCTTGGCACTCATCTGTGTGATAATCTCAAATTTTGTGACCTTGAGCCTGGCACTTGATCTGCATGATGATCTCAAGGGCCCTAGTCCCCACCTCCCCAGACTGTGAGGATAAGTGAGATGATGCATGTACAGGGTTGGCACAATGCCTAGCACAGTTAAGTGCTCAGTGAATGTTAAATGGAAAAAGGAAATTATTTGGAGTGGTCGAAGAGGGTTGCACAATGGAAATGACAGAAACTGGCCCAGAAACCAGTTAGACTAGTGAACAAGGAGAGGAAGAGCATTCCAGGTGGTGGGCACGACACTTGCTCAGGGTGGAGGCTCTAAACTGGCAAGTTTGGGGAAGAAGCAAGCAGAGCATGCTGTGGGTTAGTGTGGAGCGAGAGGGGCAGGGAGAGACCAGCCGTGAAACAATCAGCCTGGACTTCGTTCTGCAGGGGACGGGAAAGCACAGAAGGACTGCAAGCGGAGGCGGCATCTGTATTCTAGGGAGCCCCTCCCAGGGGCTGGCAGTGCAGTGGAAGGAGTGTGAGCAGCCCAGTTGCTGGAGGGATTAGCCAAGAAGAGGGGCCACACTCACAGCACCCTGATTTCTGCCTACAGTGAAAAGGGACTCCCAGTCCTTGGTGCACCCAGAAGAGCATTTAAAAAGCACAGACACGGCGAACTGCCAGGGGTGCCGTGGAGCACAAGCACAACAGGGGTGAAAAGTGGGAAAATTCTGCACAGGCTTTGGGAAAAGCAAGGACCCGTAGTCAGAAGGAAGCTGAGGGGTGAAATCGGGTATAGGTTTAGAAGAGAAAAGGGCATCCTTCCTTCCCAAGAATATATTTTTTAGAAATACATACACCTGGGGGTGTCTGGGTGACTCAGTCGGGTAAGCATCTGCCTTCAGCTCAGGTCATGATCCCGGGGTCCTGGGATTGAGCCCTAAGTCAAGCTCCCTACTCAGCGGAGAGCCTGCTTCTCCCTCTCCCACTGCCCCTGTCTCCCTCCCCCCACCAACTTGTGCGTGTTCTCTCTCAAATGAATAAGTAAAATCTTTTTTTTTTAAATTTTTTAAAGAATATACAGTGGTATACTTAAAAACAAAATTAAACTTTGCTCTCTCAGGTCATCTGGTCCTGGCTTTCTTTACTATTATCTCTAGTTTCTGGCTCTCTGTAGTTTTAATCAGAAATGCTTTGATAAAGACAGAAAGCAGTGTAGATGTAACTGCGTGCCTGCAGTCTGTGAGCAAGCCAAGCTGTCGGCTAGGACAGGCATGAGAATAAGCCCTCGCTCGGTGCACCGAAGAAGTGGAGATGAGACTAGAAAATTAAGACACTGTGCTTTCTGTTGTTCAGTATATAAAGCATGTTCTGAACAGATGCTTGAATTCTCTAAGCAGATGAGGAAGACAGAAGGGCTGAGCTGGAGAGAGAAGTGATCTGAAGAGGAAGCAGAGTGGGGGCCACTACATACGATTAAGCTTAACTGCCTGCCACCAAGGAAGGTTTACACAGGAGACTGAAACCTCATGGTCACCCCTCATCCTGGAGGAGAATTCACTTGCAAACCACCTGCAACCTCCACCAGGGAGATTTATCAGGACGTTAAGGGCCCTTATTAAGATGGGTCTCCCGGCAAGACCCACCAAGAAACATAAAAATGATCATCCCTTTGACCCAGTGATCTCACTTCTGAAAGTAATGCCCAGGGGGACAGTTTAAAAGAGGGAGAGAAGCTACTTGGATACAGATGAATGCTGGTTGAGCCAAACAAAAAGATGCTTATGGCCTCTTCATTTCTAATAGTGAAATAATGTAGCCAGCCAACAACTGAGGAAGTGTTTAACAACAATGTAGATTAATTTGATGAACTATTAGATAGCAATTAAAAATATTGGAACAGCTCAGTTTTAAAAACATTATTTTAAAAAATGGTATGTTTACTTTGACCACACATCCCTTAAAACTTATGTAGATTATAATTGGAAGCAGAGATATAAAGCCTCTTCTAAGGTAAAGATGATTTTTGTAAATTATGAAGAAATGCTCAACATCCCTAATCATCAGGGAAATGCATATCAAAACCACGATGGGATATCATCTCACACCTGTTAGAATGACTATCATCAAAAAGACAAGAAATAACAAGTGTTGGAGAGAATGTGGAGAAATTGGAACCCTCGTACACTGTTAGTGGGAATGTAAATTGGTGCAACCACTATGGAAACCAATATGGAGGTTCCTCAAAATATTAAAAATAGAATTACTGTATGATCCAGGAATTCCACTTCTGGGTATTTATCCAATGAAAACAAAAACACCAACTGGAAAAGATATCTGCACCCCCATGTTCATTGCAGCATTATTTACAGCAGCCAAGATATGGAAGCAACCTAAGTGTCCATTGATAGATGAATGGATAAAGAAAATGTGATTCACATATATAATGGAATATTACACAGCCACAAAAAGAAGGAAATCTTGCCAGTTTCAACATGGATGGACCCTGAGGGCATTATGTTAAGTGAAATAAGTCAGACAGAGAAAGACAAATACCATATGATCTCTCTTATAAGTGGAATCTAAAAAAACCCAAAAACCCAAAAAGCTAAGCTCACAGAAACAGAGAACAGACTGGTGGTTGCCGGAGGGAGAGGATGGGGGTGGACGAAATGGGTAAAGGGAGTCAGAAACTGCAAAGTTCCAGTTATAAAATAAATAAGCCATGGGAATATAATGTGCAGCATGGTGACTATAGTTAATACTGTACTGCATATTTGAAAGTTGCTAAGAGAATAGATCTTAAAAGTTCTCATCACAAGAAAAAGAATTCTGTATGATGGTGATGGATGGTAAAATGGTGATCACTTTGTAATATATACAAATGTCAAGTCATTAGGTTGTACAACTGAAATTAGTATGTTATTATGTAAACTAAACCTCGATAAAAAAAATCAATTCATTTTTGGAAAGAAGACAATAAATCCTGGGTCCCCTGCAAAGATAGCAGTGCCGTTCTCAGACGTATTTGTGACCTGGGAGAACTGGGCTGTGAACAGGGCCTACTTTTGTGTTTCTAGTTTACATAAACAACCCTGAACAACATGTACAGAGAGGTGTGGGGCAGGGCAAGGGGCATTGAGGGGTCAAGTGTCTAAAACTACCCCCCATGTTCAAGTTCATGGAAGCTTCATTGCTGATAACGATCAGAAAGAGAAATAGAAAACAACGTACCCCAGTGAAAATGCTTACCACCAGGCAAAACTGCCACCAAGCAGGCGAGTTTTCAGAGTTAGGAAGAACGTGGCAGTTAGAAATGTGGTGGAGAAAGAAGCTGTTTAAATTGAGGTTGACAGAGAATATTTCTGACCATTCCCATCACTGGACAAACATGCACTTAATAATATGCATGTGTATATAAATGCAGCCCAGGATTTATTAAGAAACACAGTAACAGATCAATACTGGGCCTGAGTGCCAGGTTTTCATTAAAACACCTTGCTTCGTTTTTTTCCAGTTTTCCTAGACAATAATGTACACCTATTACATCATTCTCTCCCCCCGACCCCAAACGTTAAACATTAAGCTAGATGTCCATAACCTACACTAGCTAAATGCCTCACCAAGGCAGCTCACAAGGGTTGGGTGGGAGGGCCAGGGGGTTTCATTTTCTCTCACGATTTTCAGCAGGTCAACAAATTCTAATTATCATCACTTACCTTAGCCATATAGCTTTTTACAGGAACTGCTTGACATATAACTGACTTAGTTCAATGCACTGGCTGAAAAAGAAACTAAGCACATATGGCGTGGCTCCTCTATGTGGTATTAACTGTAAAGACCAGTACCCACCCCTGTTCCAAATTCTAAATTCTACTGCCTCATCTCGATGTCACAACAAGGTTAGCTGAAAACCATCCTGCAGGCTGCACTGTGGCTTTAAGAGGAAATAAACGATCCCACAAATCTTTGGCAAATGTATGGCTAAACATAGCAGCAATCTCATGTATATGGATTTAAAGTTTCTCCTTTGGGAATTTTGCAAGCAAACAAAATGATTTATTTAGCCAATTCAAAGGGACTGTATCAAAACACACAAAGGCCTAGAGGAAAGATTACAATGAAAACAAATAATTCAAAGCAATTTCTGATCCAAAACATTTCGCTTAGCTCTACAAAAAAATGAATAAGGTGTGGTCATGTTTTCACGACTCCTTGCCTCCGAGTTAAACACTGCCGTAAGAATAGCTTGCGTGCTTAATGCATGCCTGGAAGAAATGTTTATCAATCCTTTAGTTACTAAGGGAAGGGTTATGTGTAGTCAGACCCTAAAGCCTATAAAAACAGATCAGAGTTGTGCTATGCAGGACAGTAGCACTAGCCTCGTGTCTTCTAAGCATCTGAAATGTGGTTAGTATGACTAAGGAACTAAAATTGTATTAAGAACTGATATTTGAGGGGCGCCTGGGTGGCTCAGTTGGTTAGGCGACTGCCTTCGGCTCGGGTCATTATCCTGGAGTCCCGGGATCGAGTCCCACATCGGGCGCCCTGCTCGGCGGGGAGTCTGCTTCTCCCTCTGGCCCTCCTCCCTCTCGTGCTCTCTGTCTCTCATTCTCTTTCTCTCTCAAATAAATAAAATCTTTAAAAAAAAAAAAAAAGAACTGATATTTGATTCAGTTACTGGCAAACTTGGAAAGGTTTGTGTGTTTGGAACAACTTGGGTGTGTGAATCTACTTTTTCACTGTATATTCTAAGAAATATAAATATAGACCAAGTACTCCTGATGAAAATTTAGCATCTGAATTGAGATGTCCATCAGTGCACATACCGATTTTGTAACACTTGGTGTGAAAAGAAATATAAAATATTTCAGTATTTTTAATATAATTAAATGTTGAAATATTCTGGATATACTGGATTAAATAAAGTATATCATAAAATTAATTTCACTTTTTTAATGTGGTTCCCAGAAAACTGAAAACGGCTTACATCATATTTCTATTGGGCGGTGCTGTTGCAGAGTGAAATCTGAAGTCTTGAGAATGCTGGCGCCATCTGCTGGATACACACGTACAAAACAGGCCCATGAGAAACGGTAAAACCAGAATTGCGTCAACACTTGAACTCTGGGTCTGAAAGGCAAGAGGATGTAACAACTGGGCTCCCGAAACACTAAACTACCTGTATGCTAAGACAAAATGAGAAATGTTTATATAGTCTTGAAATCCTAGAGAAAATGACTTACAGTTACTAGTCGACAGTGACCATGAGCCAACGTGCAGAGTGCTTCGCCGTCCACCTTAGGTTGGGCCATCCTGGGTGACAAAAGGTTATTTGGGGATCCCTCTCATGACCGCTGGCTCCCACAGGGCTTACTGCTGCCTGACCAGACTTCCTGTCCCTTCTCCACAAACAGCCTCTCAAGTCCTGCTTTACCTTATAACCATACCCTCTTTCCATCTTTCTCATTTGTCTGTTTTCTTCCTTCCCTTCTTCCATTTTTTTTGATTCCAGTATAACTAATAATTCTATTTTTTCTTTCTACTATTCCAATTTTTCTTTTTCTGTCTCCTCTCCCTTCGTCCTACAAGCTGTTTCAGTTGGTATTGTAGTTTTAGTTCCTATGTTTAGGTCTTCAATCCATTTTGACATTGGGTTGGTTTTGTTTATGGCCCAAGTTATGGGTCCAAATTCATTCTTTTGCGTGTGGATAGTCAGCTGTCCCAAAATCATCTGTTGAAGAAGCTATTCTTTCCCCATTGGATGGCCTTGGCACCACTGTCAAATATCAATTGACTACAGAAATATAACTTTCTTTTTGGACTCTCAGTGTTAGTCCATGGATCTAGGTGCTTATCCTGTCAGTACCAACACTGCTTTGATTCCTGTAGCTTTGTAGTAAGTCTTGAAATAGGAAGTGTGAGTCCTCCAACTTTGTTCTTTTTCAAGATTGTTTTGGATATTCTGGGTCTCTTCAATTCCATACAAATTTAGGATCAGCTTATCAATTTCTGCAAAAAGGTGGCTGGGTCAGTTGATTTAATGTATTATTTTTAAAAAGAGGTATTTGCCTGATCAGACTGACAGAATGACCCTTAGGACAGGCAACTTTACCCTTGGCACAGAGTTCAGAGGTTAAGTTTGCAAGAATTTGGGATTTTTGTCTAGTACTACTTGATATTGGAGTGACAAGACTGAGAGCAGAGGGCACTGGAGAAATCAAATTTGGAGCAAACATGAGCCTAAACAAGCTACATTTAAGTCCCAGAACTGCCGTTTGATGCCACATGACCTTGGACAAATCGTTGACCCTTTCTGGGCTCTAGTTTGCAATCTGTAATGAGCACTCCCATCAACACCACTGAAACTATGTGGATCAGAGCCCACAGGAGTAGAGGCTCCTTCTGGCACTTGGATGATCTGCTCTAGCATGTTCTTACAGAATTCACTGGCCTGGGAGGCAGCCATTGGAGCCCTATGGGCCTGGTGGCCAACTCCCACTGCTTGTCTGGAGCTGAGAAGACACGGAGGTGCAGCAGGCAGAGGACGGGATGTATTCAGGCACAGGAAATGCTTCCAGAGCTCTGCTCACTAACTCACTGGTAGTAAAGATGAAGGGACCTCCCTGCCTCTCACTCCAGCCCAGGTCTATTTCAATTAGACTTCTGAGGTGATGTGGCTCCTGAAAGTGATGAGGGCCTACAGGGGGCACAGCAGAGAGACAGGCCCAGCTGAAAAACTAACCCTTAAGCTAAGGAGCCTCTCACTCTCTGACTCAGCGAACAGCCTCCAAATGGGCCCCAGGCACTCCACACACAATGAATGCCCATAAGGCCTGTGTGCTGACAATAAAAGTGACTTCACCTTCTACCTTTCTGGATTATGAGGTTCTCTTTCCTGGTCTTCTTTATCATTCAAATGTTATTGCTTAACAGTCCACCAGCTTCAGGGTTCCCTTGGAGACTAAACCACTTGCCCCACACAGTGTCCCCTCATTGCCACTTTGACAGGCAAACATGCCTCCTGACAGATGCTCCATCAACTGATATGGAAGCTGAATCCTTGGAACAAAGAGAGCTGCATGCTAGTATTTACAAAAGGAAAGGAATGGAACGCTTAAATCAAATAAGCCAAGGGAGTGGGTAGGAAACAGGATTACAAACCCCTCAGGGTCATATTATGACAGCTTACACATAAATCCAGACGGACAGGTCACCATATCAATCAGAAAGAAATGAACAGCCAAGTGGCCACAGAATTCCCGAAGTACCATTCACTTTCTTCCTTGCTGACAAATCCAACCTGAAGTCTGTATCATCTAGGGAAAGGACAGGAGGAGAAAGATACTATTCTGTCTCTAAGTTATATTTTCCCTAATTTGGGAGAAAAAGGCACCATCACAGTATAGACCCAAGTGAGAATGGTTTTGAAGTTCATGTCACTTGTTTATAATACGATATCATATCATCCAGAGTTTCGAAAGTGACTGTGGCAGCTTGTGGTGGCCTGCTGGGGGCGGGAGTGGATGATGTATGTGAAGAGCTGGGGTCATGGCTCTGGCCAGAGCGCTGTCCTGAGTCACTCTGTGCAGGTGCAGGTCTGTTCCATGTCTGGCTACCAAAGGTACCAGTTCTCTTTTGACCCACAAAGTAATCTGATGGTGGAGCAAACTCAGGATCTCTCTCGGCCCGGAGATCTGACTGCCTCTTCGACCAGTACCCAAAGGAAAATTCTAGTAAAAATAAGAAAGAGTATTATTAGAACTGATCATTATTACTTCTCTATTATTATATATTAAAAGCCAACTCCCATTCTCTGGAGAACAAGGATAGCAATAACATAATATAAGGTCTATGTAATGCCTACAAAAATATAAGGAAAAGGGAGTGCCTACTTCCAGATGGGGAAAAATTCAAGGAAGGCTCTGTGGGGAAGGCTGGTAGGTTCTGGAAGTATTGCCAAAAAGGCACTAAAATTATAATTGAAAGAGAAATCTAGAAAAATCAAACCCTCAGATTATTTGCTTGACATGATGTAGGTACTTCACAACAAAACACAAATTTTGACCTTTATTGAGTTTTAGAAGACACAAAAAGACACCTGTCCAAATCTCATTTGGTATTTCAGCTCTACTGCTAACAGCAGCACTAACCTAAGGCACTCGCCTATTTGCCTATCTTTTACTTGACACTTGGACCTCATCAGCTCAAACAGCATGAGCTAATGTACTATTCTAACCATCTCGTTTGAAGAGACATAAATCATAGCCTCTTCCAACAAGAAGCTGCTGTGGGCATCACGGTGTACAGACGCAGACTATTTTCAACTGAACGTAAAGGAGACGCTAAAGAACACAGAGGACATTAAAATACCAAACCTTGTAAGATTTTTAAAAGTGGCTCCTGAGAAAGGGCATTCCAAAGCTGTAAAGCCACATGGGGGTAGCACAAATTTACAAAACTTCACCCAGTGCTTCTAAAAAATTGTCCTTTTGAAATGATGTATTGTAGACCCTGGTCTTTTATGATCACACTTTCTAGTACCCCTGTTTACAAACAGCTAGTGCCTGGGTACTAAGAAGAACCCAGTCGAAAGATCTGGAGAATTCCTTAAACCTCAAGGGACCACTAAGACCCATGAGAATCATACTGAGATGAACCAGAAAAATCTCCTGTGCAAGGCCATCACTGGAAAGGATTTATACCTTGAAGCCCATGCCCCCTTACCTTTTCCTCTGTCCCACTCTCGGACATGGGGCACTCCGGGCCTGGTATCCTTCCTCTCCTGAACAATGACTTCCACTTTGCTACTCTGGGCAGCAGTACGTGGAGTTGGCACAGCCTCTGGTTCTGGTGGCAAAGGTCCAATAACATCTATTTTTTGCCAGAGAATAAGACATTATTATAGTAAAGCTTAAAGCTATTTAAAAAATAATCAATAAATATAACACGCTAATCTTGAGAGTAAAAGTAATAACTAGTATTTGATGAGCACCTATCGTGTAATTCTTGTAATAACCCTAACAAAGTCAGTATTGGTTTTTCTACTTTATAAATGAGGAAAATTAAGCTCAGAAATGCTACACAAGGAGAAAGAGACAGAGCCAGGATCCAAACCCAGGTTGGATGGATTTCAAAGTCTGTGTTTCCCACTATGGCACCCCGCTTCCCCAGACCAACAACTGAAGGGCCAGAAATCCCCAATTACTCAACCAAAGTAGGAGTCTCAGACAAAGCAAGGGGACATAGGGTGATGAAGAGCTGACGCATGGCAACAGGCCGCAGGCTATTCACCTTTGGCCAGATTTTTAAAGAAAATGGGTTTTTAAAAACCACTGTGCTGGCACTTCACATGTTGTGGAAATGACAGATGTTGAGGAGTAGAGCAAAAACAGAGAAACAGTATGCAGAGCTTAACATGTTTCAGGGACCTAGCGTCATACAAAACGGCACTGGTGACTTCCCAATTCCTCAGTGTTTCTGGTCTCCTTTCAGAGCTCAGCTGAAGCTGTGTTCAGATCTGAAGATGGCCAGTGGCTTGGCACAGGCCTCTGTTAGGGCTGGAGAGGCTGGTACATGCCCCTGACACCCACACCCCCTTCTTCCTCCTGGGAACACAACGCCCCCAGTTTCAGCTGCGGGTGTGGCCACCTCACTAGACGGGCCATTCCCCAGCCCCCTGCAGCTGCATTCGGGCCAGTGGGATGTAAATGCATGGGTTGTGTGTGCCTTCGATTCACATTCCTAAAGAAGCTGGTTCCTCTCCCCTCCTTCCCCTTCCCTGGGGCTGGGCCGCAAACAGGTGCTAGGGAATAAGCCTCCACCCTGCAGGTAGAGCAACACTCTAGGGATGGCAGAAGCAGGAAGACAGGAAGAAGCTGGGCCTGGTTGACCATCTGGAGCAGAGCCACTACCTGCCTGGAAACCCACCACCTCTAAAGCATTAAAATAGAAAACAGACTTCCACCTCGTGTGAGCCAGTCCATGCAGGGGTATCGGTCAGCACAGCTTAGCCCAGACTAGGGTAACTCACACTGCAGGCAGCAAGCCAGGAGGAACACATGTAACAGTGTTTCCACACACTGTGACCTTTCGTGAGCCATCCAGGCTCATATTTGTAAATTCTTTCTTTTATCTGATTTTGTGAATATTCTTCTTTAAAATAAATGAATGTATAATAACCAAAAAACATACAGCTATAGCAAAACAAATTCGGTCCAAAACGTGTGTGTACAACTCAACTTTATCTTAAAACATCTCTTCTCTCAGTTAAGTCTGTTACTAAAAAACCATGCCGTTCTATGAAGTAACACAATGTCCTGTTTGTTAGTATTTTTGTCTATAGAAAAAGATTCTTTGGAGTGTCACCCTGCACCACTCTGGTTATAAAAACCTGTTCCTGGCAGTACCTCAGAGGTACTCTGCTTGCTTAGAGAATGAAACGAAATGGCTCCTTTCCATATTGCCAGTCCTACTTGTTGAGACATCAATGGAACTAAAATTTTTCCTTTTGAAGGTCAGATACATGCGCCATGATATACCTCTATTTTCTTCCTCTGCTCCATCTTCTTTTGACTTTTTCATCTTTTTTTGTCGGAGTTTAGCAAGTCTTGCTTCTAACATAGCCTTTCGCTTTTCCTTTATGTTCTCTCGTTTTGTTCTCTGATCTGTTGTCTGAATACAAAAGAAAATTAGAACATTATTTACTGTAAGCCAAATTCACAATATTTCTGTTTAAAGGGATGAAATAATTTATTTTATTTTAAAAAGAGGCTAATTGGTTTTCATGCCACCTCTAAGAAGCTAGCCTTGAGATCTTCAAAACGCAGACCTATGAGGTCCTCTTATACAAGCCCTCTGGGTGTGTTTTCTAAGTTTAGCGAGTGTTCACAGAGCATCCTGGAATCTTCACATTCAAGGAAACCAACCAATTCTGTTCTACTCCTTAATCCCTTAAATAAATCCCTTAAATAACTCTCTATTTTCTTACCCAGGCCACTCCAAAAGTACCATATTTAAAACCAAATTTAAAACATCAAAGTTACATAAGTTACTTCTGAGCAGCTATAATTTTAAAGTCTGAAACACCAAAATAGAACAGCAAGTACCTTCGTGAAACTATAAGAGCATTCTGATACTGATAAATAATAGTGATAAAACTGTCACTATTTGCAGAAGACATGATATTATATATAGAAAACCCTAAAGATGCCACCCAAAAACTGTTAGAATAAATGGCTTCAGTAAAGTTGCAGGGTACAGGGGCACCTGGGTGGCTCAGTCAGTTAACCATCTGCCTTCAGCTCAGGTCATGATCTCAGGGTCCTGGGATCTAGCCCCATGTCGGGCTCCCTGCTCAGCGGGGAGTCTGCTTCTCCCTCTCCCTCTGCTCCTCAGACTGCCTGTCTTCTCTCTCTCAAATAAATAAATACAATCTTAAAAAAAAAAGTTATGGGGTACAAAATCAGCATACACAAATCTGTTGTACTTCTATAGGCTAATAAACTATCGGAAAGAAATTAAGAAAACATTCCCATTACATCAAAAAGAATAAAATGCCTAGGAATACATTTAACCAAGGGAAACTATAAGGCAATTATGAAAGAAACTGAAGACACAAAGAAATGGAAAAATACAGCATGCTCATAGATTGGCAGAATTAATACTGATAAAATGTCCATATTACCCAAAGCAATCTAAAGATTCAATGCAATCTCTATCAAAATTCCAACAAATATTTTTCATAATAATAGAACAAACAACCCTAAGATTTATATGGAACCACAAAAGATCTTGAAAAGCCAAAGCATTCTTGAGAAAGAAGAACAAAACTGGAAGCATCAGGCTCCCTGATTCTGAACTATAGTACAAAGCTATAATAACTGAAACAGTATGATATTGGCATAAAAACAGACACAGAGATCAGCGGAACAGAAAAGGGAGCCCAGAAATAAACCCAACCATATATGGTCAATTAATTTATGCCAAAAGAGCCAATAATATATAATGGGAAAAGGACAATCTCTTTAATAAATGGTGGGAAAACAGGACAGCCACATGCAAAAGAATGAAACTGGACCACTATCTTACGCCATACACAAAAATTAACTCAAAATGGACTAAAGACTTGAACATAAGACTTGAAACTATAAAACTTCTTGAAGAAAACATAGGCAGTAAGCTCCTTAACATCAGTCTTGGCCATGATTTTTTGGATGTGACACCAAAAGCAAAGGCAACAAAAGCAAAAATTAGGGCGCCTGGGTGGCTCAGTTGGTTAAGCAACTGCCTTCGGCTCAGGTCATGATCCTGGAGTCCCGGGATCGAGTCCCGCATCGGGCTCC